TTTAAAAACACTCACTCACTCACTCACACATTCTCTCTCTCTCTCTCTCTCGACGTTGTACTCTTCCGCTTTCTTCAGGAGATATTTGTGGATTTTTTTACCGTACCCTTTATTTAGTCCACGGGTGTAGATTGTTCAAATTCCACGAGCTATGCTTTTGGATATCTCAGTTTTAGTTAATTCCCCTTGATAACTCTCCATGATTTTGTTCCCTCTGCTGTGGCCATTGATTGAACTCGCAACTCTTCGAAGTTCAAAATTCCAACAAATATCACCTGAAGGAGGCCGAAACGTCGTGAATATGGCAGTAAAGATGAGGACAGGTGTTTGAATAGTGTAAATAGTGTAAACAGAATCGGCTGTAAAAAGACAATATGTTTATGTGTGTAGTGGCGTGGTTGTGTAGTTGTATGTGTATGAAAAAAGAATTATTGATATAAACTGTCAAAGGCTATAAATATCGGGCACATAGAGATAATCAAACTCAATCATTAGAATCCTAACAAGATGCATTTTTTTAATTCTGACTGTCACGTAGTCTCGTGGCTCCCGCCCCCCCCATAATCCTTTTCTCGATGACTGTGAATTGCCTGACATCTTTCTTGAACTCCTTTCCGCTGAGGTCCTGATCTGGCATCTAGTCTACAATCGCTATCCCATAGACGTGCTGTGGCCTCCTTCTGTCTCTTCTACAAATATTTTCACGACAACTGAACCGACGAGCTACTGCCATTGGTTTCCGGACTACATGAATTTAAACGAGCTACCAGGCTGGTATCTCGGTCCAATCCTTTCACTGTCAAAACGATTAAATGTAACCGTCTCTTCTTCTCAAACAGCTTCTTCTCCCGCACTTCCCGTCTTTGGAACTCCCTTCTCCTTACTTCCTTGTTTCCACGGTGACTATAATCTTTACATAGTGATTTTCCAAGCGCAGCTTAGATGTGGCACAACGCTGAAAGTATGGGGCACCCAGTGAGGATCGAACTCACTACTCTGGCGTAATTATTCTAGCGGGTCAAGCTTGCTAACCATTACACCGCCTCAGGGCGCCCAAATCTTCGCATATTCAAGTGAAATTTCAATCGACATCTGACACCTTGAGCTTTTTCTCTGTCCTCCTCTGTGTCCTTTCCTCAAACGAGCCTCTTTGTTCGTTCTCTCAATCGTCTGTAATCCTTTGTGTGCTAGTCGCACTCGCGCCTTACTTGGGTGGAATTTCCCCCCACCACAAAAAAAAGAAACTTTACCACGGTTCTGAAATCAAAGTTTTTCTTCTCCTAGAGTGGCTGCTCAACAAGGCTAGACAACCTCATCTCCTATTTAACCCTAACCCTTATCCAAAGGTATTTGTATAGAAATTATACCGGAGTTTCTGTTGCTAATAACCTATACGAACTCAAATAAGACTTCTTCCACGTCAAGGTTTATTATTAATTAAGCATTTTTTGAATTTACTATAGTAGTCATGATCCGCTAGATCGCTAAATATTTCTCATCAAATTATATACATTACTTACAGCGGACTATTCTCCTCATCTTTGTTGTTGTTATCACAATATTTCGGCTGTTGTATCCTCCGGCCTTCATAAGGTGTCTGATGATCCGGGTAACGTACAGGGAATTTCAAACTGTGTCATTTATTTAATCTAAGTGGATAGATAGTTCTCTTTCTACTGCACATGTCTGGTGATATGTCGCCTTTTTATGGTTCGCCCCGTTGCCACTGAGTCCAAGTACTCACGGCTTACGGCCACATCACGTTGAAACACCGGTTCCCATATGGTCACCTAAGTTAAGCAACGTCGAGCCTGGCCAGTACCTAGATGGATATTCGCTTTGGAATACCAGATGCCGTAAGTCTGAATGTTCAGGTGGTGTAATGGATAATGGATCGGAATTGTTAATCGGTGAGCTGAGTTCTAATTCCCGTTGGGTTCCATATATTCACTTCCGCGCAAATATCCTTGGGAAAGGTATGAAATCACCTCTTCTTCACCAGCTATGGCTTAATTAGTAGAACTTGTATAACTAAACCATCATCATCTCAAAAAAATCTAGACACTCTAAAAATATTTTCTGGCTTTAAATAACCTGCAAAGAGTTAGTAAGTCGTAGAAAACTAATCAAACAGTAATTACTTGCACAGGCCTGCCTTTTAGATTTATTTACATTTTTTTAAATATAAATGTACAGAAAGTCCCTTGGCCACAAAAAATTCTCAAAATCTAAATATGTTTTCTGGCTTTAAATAACCTGTGAAGGTTGATAAACCTTAAAAAACAAATTTATCAATAAAAAAAACGAGTGCACAGTGCCCGGCCTACAATTATAATGGAACGAAATTCACGAATCACCGCTTTAACCCACTTGACTATGTTCCGCATGTAAATAATGATAATAACAGAAATTCAGACTGAAAAGCTCATAAAATTGTTATTAGCTTTTCCCCGCGTGTTTCGACAAAATCATTTGACGCATGCGCAGGCGAATACAAACGCATTTTCCTTGCATGTACTTTTTATTGTAATTTTTAGTTTAAACGAATTCTTTTTTATTTATTTTTACATCGGTTAAAACAATTTCATTCTCCACCCACTTACCTCATGCCCCTCCCCGATTCCTTACAGCGAAAAAAAAATATCTTTTCTATTTTTATTTCGAATCCCTCGTTCTACTTGATTGTTTAGCAGCAGCCATTGTTCTTTTTTCTTCGGAAACACAATCAGAATGATACTGAGTCACACGCAAGTACACACGTTAGCAGAGATACGCACACTATGCACAAATGCACAAGCAGATACACTCTGACTCACACATAAACAGAGAATGCGACATAGACACACTGCATAGACACAAGGGAAGAACAGGCATAAAAATGCAGGGTCGCACACATCCTGACACCAACGCGTAAACACAGCTACTCCATGATAGGTATGCATACGGAGAAACACATTTGCGTGTCAGTCTTTCTTCATTGTATTTTCTACAAAACCCTCCATGATTCTGTTAAATAGGAAACATTGCTAGTGCGTAGACAAGTGTAGAAGTAAAGGCCATTTTAACTATCAGTTTAGAAGTTGACACATGAAAATTTGGCTTAATAATAATAATAATAATCTCAGAATTGTCAATACTTACACCCACTGAGCAGAAAAACCGTCATGACAGGATAAGACAGTAGCTGTATTGGAAGATCTGACATCACTTCTTCTATGTACAGTGTCCCTTCAGGACGTTGACACACATGGTTCTTCGAAATTTCCTGTCCTTTGTAGCTGTTAATAATTTTCATCTTTTTCTTATATCTTCTAAACCTTAATCTTTAATGTCATGTTCAGGACGATTCGGTCGTTGTACGCCCCGGCCTTCTTCAAGTGATTAGAATTTCAAACGGAAGCCTTTATTTCGTCTACCGGGGTAGATTGTTCTAGTTCCACGTGCAATGCCTCTTTCGGATGTCTCAGTTATCTCCCTTTAATTAAACTCCAAGTTTTTATTCACTACTGCCATAGCTAGGTGTTGAACTCACAACTCTTTGGGTCAAGTCACTGGATCCAACCAACGTTTCTATCCACTGGGCAAAATTCCAATCACCTGAAGAAGGCCAGGGCGTAAAACGGCCGAAACTTCATGAACATGACAATAAAGATGAGGGCAAAAGTCCGAAGAATGTAAATAATGTAAATACTTACAATTCCTCATTTCAGAAATATAGACAGATTCGTCTATGCCCTGCTCGGCCATCCATTTAATCAAGTGTTTTCTTCTGTCTCTTCAATCTGTCATGGGAGTGTTGCGGACCCGGCAGCGTGCAGTGCTGGTTTATTACTAAATGGCCTTGTGCCAGACACCACACTAAACTACCGAGTCCACAAGCAATGTAAAAAAATAAATAAAATGCGTGAATGAACAGTGAGAGGAAAGGGGTCAATCAACGCGTGCATAAATTAATAAACATCAAAGAGATAGCCGAAATAAAATGACAAAGACATCTGTTTGTAAAACATGTGTAACTTTAATTAGATGGAAACAAGTAACTTATCTCGTGGTACGAGATTAATGAAAAATGTCCCGCGCCAAAATAGGAATGCAAGATGAACAAGGCTGGAAAAAGAGTTTTATAAGGTTCTGGAAAAAGGGAACTCGTTAGACACGAGGTGTATGTGCGCACAGATAGAAAGGAGTACTCACTGTGGATTTTGTTTGGCGTTGAGAGTGATGTTATGCATATTTTTAAGGTACTGGTTCAGAGTCCAATGATTTGAGAGTGTATGTGATTTTGTGTTTTTTCTTTTGTGCTCAGGTTCAAAGTAGGGACTCAGAGTTCGGTCAGGTCTTGAATTAACTGTTGAGAATTTTAACGGAATGCTGTGGGCATCTAGACAGGAGAAACGAAGAATGTTTGAAGCGAGTCTCATGGTCTTGTGGAGTTGTTTACGGCGAGCCCAGAGAGACGAAAAATGTTTGTTCGAAGGTAATAATATCCCTGTCTGTATTTACTGGTTCACTGACGAGGGGTAAGTGTAAGTCACCTGTTGAATACGAAGTTTTGCCCACGACTATGTCGTGTGTCTCGAACGTTTTCTAGCAGAAAACGGAGAAGGTCTGACCTGCGGATAGCAAGTTGTTCGTCAGTAGGATATCCCTGTCTGTATTTACTGGTTCACTGACGAGGGATAAAAATAAGCCATTAGTTGAATACGAAGTTTTGCTCACGACTGTGTCGTGTGTCTCTAACGTCTTCTGGTCGAAAACGGAGAAGGTCTGACCTGCGGGCAGTTTCAAGACGAGAAGAAGTCTTGGTAAAGTGTGAAGTCGACATTGTTGAAATAAGATATTCCGGCCCGCATATGGGTTCAGGGTACGGAATAAATGAGTTGCCCGTCTAGTTTGATTGAAGATCGGGAGGAAACTGGTTTGCAAACGCTGGCTGTTTGAGACGCCGAAAAACGCGCGGGAAAAAATTCAAAATCTGTTAGTCTGAGTTCATCAGTAGGAGCTAGCGAAGGTTACTGCTATGTCTAGCTGTGAGAGGAAGAAAGGGGTGAAAACCGCGCGCACACACGCACGAGTGTGAAAGGAAGGGAGGAAACTCGCGCGCGCGTAAAATATAGATGGAATTAATGTGTTAATTCCATAGGAGTATCAAATTTTCGGTGCCTTGTTTCCTCAATGTGTGTCATAGAAATTTCAATTGTCTCTTCCTGATGTTAAGTATACGTGTCCGTTTTGTTTTAATTTCCTCTAAAACAAATCGTCGTTGCTCATCTATTCAGTTTATTATAATCTCAACATCCTTCTGCAGATCACCAAAGAGAGCTTTGCTCATTTAAGCTTGTCATGTGATTATGAATCCAATGCAGGTTAAAAAGAAAATAATAATAATACATCCACACAGTTGTAGGCCAAACGCAGTTAATATTATAGAATTATTGAGAACTCCACGACATTATTGATAGCTACGATGAATTTAGAGATATCCATTTTGTAGAGTGATTGCCAACCAGGGCTAGAGAGCTAGAAGGTCCTGCTATTCAATTGAGATTAACTCAAGGATATTTGTGCAAAAGTGAATGCAATGAACTTGACTGGAATTCGAACTCAGCTTGCCAATTTCTCAATCACATTTGCTGTTTAAACATAACGAAATGATTTACTTACGACAATTGAACCAAATATATTTTCGGGCCAAGACTAATCTCTCAAACGATTTCCCTGCAGAACATAAGAGACACGGCTCACATATCACTTCTCAGTGCTAGCATATATATATATATATATATATAGAGAGAGAGAGAGAGAAAGAGAGAGGGAGAGAGATATAAAAGATATATAATTTAAAAGAACCATTAAGAAAAATTCTGGTCGAAAACACTCAAATTCTTGAGGTTAATATAAAATCACATTACCAGAAACACCTCTCTATTAGTAAGGCCCTGTATATCAAGCATCTCTCTTCTATTAACAATCTCGCCTTATTTAACAGTGGAAACGGTGTGTAAAAAAAAAATTAAACATAGAAAGACGCGAATACCTGCCGGGCTCAAATCGTGAAAGCTCGGAATAAACGCCACTACTGAAAACAACACGAAAATAAAATTAAACAAGCAAAACAAGAGGAAAAACTAACAACACTACAAAGAAAACCCCTTTGAGAGTGGCCGGAAGCGATTGGGACTTGAGAAAATTATGGAAAATTTTTGTACTCCTCTAATTCTACAAAACAGAAAAACGTAAGGATGTTGGAGAAATTAAATAAAACATTAATTAAATCTTCCTTGTTTGACGTATTTAATAAAAGATGCTTAAAAGAAAAGTTGCTGGCCAAATATATATATATATATATATATATATATATATATGTGTGTGTGTGTGTGTGTGTGTGTGTGTGTGTTTTTCAAAATGGAAGATAAAAACTTCAAATTTAATTTTGTATTTAAATTAAAAACATTAATTGCATTCCATCTTCAAGCGAATATTGGAGTAACTTATTTTTTAAATTTACTGTGTTTTAAACGCACATTTAAATTCATAATTCACTGATTCTAAGGATACAGAAAAATCCAATCATTCAGACAAGGTAGCGTGTTCATTTTTATTGACTTTTGTTGTATCAGTTATTAGTTACGTTCGAAAAAGGGATTAAGTTTAGGAAGGGTAGGGATGTATCTTTCAACAAATTCTGACATCCGTTAAATGCATGTCGTCTGTGGGTTTTTTTTTTAAATTTTATTGTTAACGGCAAAAATTCTTTCGCCATTTTTTCCTACTTGAATACTTAAAGATTTTTTGGGGGTAGTGTTTAGGGTAGAATACGTTTTATTTAACTACAATTTTTAAATATTTTCATTCTTAATT